AGAGCCACGGCAGCCGAGGCCCCGTGTGGAGGCTTTGCTAGAGACTCTGTCACACAGACACTCTGATACCTGAGGGGACCTGCTCTCCTTCACTGTGTAGGAAATCTATTTCCAGCTGCTCATCATATTGATGGACAAGTAGTAAAAGCGAAGGCTCAAACTCATTTGAAAATTTCCCTGCTTTGACTTCAATTCCCATCTGACATTTGCTTTTCCTTTGTGTTTAAAGCTGGAATTTGATTTTGAGTTATAATGGTTTTCTTAAAATTGCTGTTTACTCCACTGGAGTTTATCTTTAGACTGTTTGATGTACCAGTATATATCTCCCATACTGTGTTTTACTGACAGCTGAGAACATGTTGAGAATATTTCTCTTATACTTTTATATATGCCAGTACTTTATGAATCTGGATGATGATGATGATGATGTGTGTGTGTATGTGTGTGTGCGCAAGTGGTTGTACATGTTAAAATTTTGTAAGAGGATGTTGCTGTTTTGCTATCATGTTTAAGCTCTTAAAACTGATTTATAACATTTGTATGACAATTAAATAAAAAGATACAATCATTAAAAAAAATGGAATCCAGATTTTTATTCCAGGGACCATGTATAAGTATTTTTATTGTTAGAAAACTGATTTCCTTTTTAAATAAAGAAAATCTTCATACCAGCATTTATTTGACACATTTTCACCATGAAGCAGTTTAAAATTGTGCCGAGCTTGTGTTTATCTTAGAGGAAGTTGTGATGGTTACAGATACAAGGATGTTTTTGTAGTATGTGCATACAGACATGGTAAAGTTAAAATTCATGTTTAGACGTAAAATACATTTCTCTCCTTTGATTTAAATGTTAGGAAACATGTCAGTGTTTACTTAAATTCTGTTAATCCACAGCTCATTCCACAAAAACATAAAAGATGTACACAGATTAAAACACAACCAAAGTGTTGAGTGGCCTTACACACCAGTACTGTTTATAGCAAAAAGCTAAAGAAAGCTTTAAATAATGGAGGAAAAGAATCTGTTGGAATTTAGAAAAGTACAAATATGTTTAGTTGAAATCTAAATGTAAGTTATGATAAACACTTTCCTCGGCCCACCCATGCCTCTGTCTACACCCAGAGAAATTTAGACAGAATCACCAGCTTTTCCTGTCCTGACTGGTCTCTGCCAACAGCCTGATAGTCTCTTTATGTCTGAGAGCTGTGCTGATAATGGTCTTTTAACTGAAATGTTTATTTTTCTTTGCACTTTTTCTTCTGCTTGTGGAACTCATTCTCTAAGATGATCCCTAGTTAATGTATATTATCTCCACAAAAGACACAAGAGCAGATAGCCAGGTAGGCTCATGATTCAGCAATGAATTCAGTCTGACTCTTAAAATCCTGAAACTCTGAATATGTCTTTCTCCGAGTTTCTAGTGTGGTGAGTGGAGGAGATGCTGGTGAAGCAGGGAGTCATGTGAATGCAGGTGACATGAGCAGCTACTGTGGTGGAGCTTCTTTATTTTATAATGAACCATTAGCATAACAAAAACATTATAGCAATGGGACACACATAAATAACTCAGGGGTGACGCAATCACATGCTGACCAGTAAAGATAAAACCATATCAGACTGAGAATGATGAACTGTCATTCTCTTATCAGAGGCTGCTGCTTATCTCACACTCCAGTTACACATGGGAATAGAGGCAGCTCCTAATGTGCACCCAGGGAGTGATTCAAGATGGGATTTTATGCATTGGTGACATCCAGGGAAAAGCTATTGAATGTGTAAATTCATTACATGCAACTGTAAAATAATCCATATTTGTGGAACCAAGACATTCCCTTGGCTTTCCATTGTATTAACTAAAATGTTTTCCTTTAATTTCTCTTCCAAAAAATTTAAAAAACACCAAAAAGTTCATTTTCTAATAAGATGATGCTGTTTAGAAAAATGTAGATAACCTAAAACTTTCAATATGTGGGAACTGAAATAAACACTTCCACTCTGCTGAAAGTGAAGGTTTAATGGCATCTACTGTACAGTTTTTTTTAATTCTGCTCCACCTCTAACATCAACTTTACTCCCAGCAATAGCAATCAAAGGAAGTGTGGGAAAGATAATAAAACCTCTGTAATCTTCCCAGTATCACCTTGCTCTAGTCGTTGGTGCGCTGACAATAAAACTCCTGTTTGTTCACTCATGGCACACTTCGATTGTTGACTGAGGGTATTAAGCTGTGAGAGGGCCGACAGACTGTGGGAAAGCTAAGCTCGGACTCTACTCACACATTTACTGGTCAATAGCGCTGACCTCCCAGCCACAAAAGGCCTTTTCATCTCTCCCGTCAAACAACAGCCAACAGCAGCACTGTGACTGTGACTGTGTGTGTGTTTGTGTGGTTGCACAGGCACATAGACACAAGACAAGCCAACTGTGTATATATTTGATATGTAATGAGATATTTATGCCATACTGCTTTTCTGAAACTTTTTCTTTGACCAGCTGCCAGTTGTTGAATTCCTGAAAAGGTGATCATGTCTCTTGTTTTGTCGACCGAAGCTAAGTAGGTAAGTTCATCACTGAATTGCTCCAAGACAAGTAAAAATGGATTCCAGGAATTTATGCACAAAGATGTCAGATTTATTCTATTATTGTATTGTTATTATTATTCTTTTTGTTATATATCAGCATTATATCCTTCCATCCATCCATTATCTATATCGCTTAGTCCCGAACGGGGTCGCAGCGGGGCTGGAGCCAATCCCAGCCGACATCGGGCGAGAGGCGGGGGACACCAAGCCAGAATTACTGATCTGTATGTGAGTATGACCTCTGACCTTCCTATGTAGATCCAGTGAAAAGAGAATTTCCCCAACTGAGACCAATCTTATACAGCTTTATTTGTGCACATACAATAAACAAGTGAACCCAGAAAAACATAAAACTGGCCATGGTGCTCACATTATTTTTCCTGTTTTATTTGTAGCTACCCTTTATCTACCTGTCATTGAATAAAATTGTTTTAGGCTTTATTGTTTGCTCATGGTATACATTTGAATGCAGTTTTGGAAATGGGCAGTTGTATTCATTTGTGGCTTCAGAACAATTATATAGATTTTGGGGAAGAAGTAGCCTGCAAGAAAGGCCAGCACGCTGAAGAGTATGGCAACTACGTTAGCAGCCATGGTGAATTGGTTTCTGCTGATGAGGTAGAGAGTGAAGAAGCTAATCCAGGAGATCATGAACACCATGAGGCTGAAGGTGATGCACTTGGCCTCATTGTAGTTGGCAGGAAGGTCTTTTCCCATGTAGCTGAAAGAGAAGCAGAGTATAGTGAGCAGTGAGACATAAACTAGCTCTATGCCAGTACCAGGTGAAAAGTTGTTACTACACTCCAGGATGATTTTGTCATCATAGAAAGCAAGATCCCGGGATGGTCTGGCAGGGCTGAGGGACATGTGGATCACAGAAATGAGCAAAATGGTAATGGACACCAGGAAAATGGTAAACTCTGGCCTGTGTTTTTTGGCCCACTTGTCATATGCCAGCGGCAGCTTGGACGCAAATTTAAAAATGCAGACGACCTGGAGGGCGCGCACAGTGATGCAGGCCAGGCACACAGTGAAGCTGAAGATGAATAGGCGATTCCTGAGGATGCAGGCCAGAGGAGATGGCTGGCCAAAATGGCATAAAGAGCTCATGGCAGCAACAGTCAGGGCTGCCAGCATTAGGAGGCAGGTTTGACCTCCGGCAGACTTGGCCACAGGTGTATTCAGGTTGAGCAGAAGGATTACTGCAGTGCTGGAGGTCATGAGAAGACAGCTGGCCAGAAAGAACAGTAGGACGATGGAGAGGTGGTCATCCCAGGCAAGCAGCACGACAGTCCTGTTCAGACACCGATCACTGCCCGGAGGAGCCCACTGCTCCGGCAGACACTGCTGGCATTTAGTGGGTTCTGAGGAAGAGAAACAGAGTAGAAGAGAGAATGTGGGATGTAAAAGCTGAGCTGGGTTTTGTCCAGTGTGAAGTTGTTCAAATTTAACATTAGTGAGTTAACCCAAGATTAGATGCTTTTGTCTAAAAGAAAAAAAAACCATAGCAAATACATTGCTAGGAGTGGTAAACTGCATTTTAGGCACAGCAACCCCTTTCAAAAAGCTCACTTCAAGCTGTTTGGATCCTGCATTAGGCAATAGTATGAGCACCACCTGCTGGTCCACTTCAGACACAACACCTGGAAAATATACCTTTATACACTGCTGTGGTGGAGTTTTGGTCATTTTGTTCGCTTTGTTTAAATTGGATATTAGTTAATTCCTAAGTTTTAAGCAGACTACAGTAGGAAACCTATACTGAAGGATTACAAGACTTAAAAGAGCTGTCACTTCTTCCCTGTTGTCTCTCTTGTGTTTGTGTGATTTCTGTCCTGACTCATGGACTGCCTGACTGATTGATGCTTTTTGTCTTGCACTTCAATTTTAATAATTTAAGTGTAATTTTAGTATGTCTACAGGGTACATAGTCTTTGTTGCACCACTGATGATGCTACAGTAACAATCAAGGTCAAAACATACAGTATAACCGGTTTGTACGATGTATTCAATTTCAGAAATGTTGGCTCATTCAGTTTCCCATCTTTGCCATTACAGAACAGGTGGGTTTTTGACATTCTTAATCTTTCCAATTTCATTTAGCACTTTCATTTATTTAGGACATTTAATCTTACTCTATGCAGCAAACATCACATTTAGGAAACACCTTTTCATCTGCCCTGGTCCTATTTATTTTTTGTCTGAATATTTTTCAGGTTCTTTGTTTTTTATAAACGTATTTACAGTATTTTACCACTTTCGTTGAGGAAGGTGGCAGCCGGACATTTCAGGCAGTCGAAGCAGCACTTGTGCTGCCCGGTCAGCAGCTTCTTGTAGCCTTTCGAGCAAGGTGTAGAGCAGATGGACAGTGGCACCTCAACAGGGAGTTCAGAAAAATTATAATCATCTTTATTTGTTTAGGTAATCTCACTGAGATTGATGTCCAAAATGAAAAGTGTACTCTCATTTATTGCAATGAAATTCCTTTGGAATTCATTGCACTTAAATGATGCAAAGTACTGAAAGTTCAGTGTTTTGCTGCAGTGTATCAATAGACCTTGCTTTTAAAATAAGAGGTTCTACAAATTATTAATTTATGATTGCATAGGTGTTTCATTAAAAATTATATTGGAATAAATATTTTCTGTTGTAAATTTGAACTATTTCTTTGTTCGGGGCTTTCTGCAGCAATCAAAACAATTTGTTTACATTCAGAATTTCATCAATTCATAAACCCAGTTTTAGATTTCTCACTAATAGCTGTACCATATTTGATCCAAATGAAATCTTGAAAGGAGAAAACTAAAAACTTAAAAAAATAACATACAAAGAGTCTTACTGGGCGTGAGTCTCCTGTGTCATACCACTCAATCTGATCATCATCAACTGTGAGTGTAATGGGATATGGGCTGAAGGAGCCCACCAGTCTAAGAGACCAGTCTGTTCCCCTCCAAATCCAGGAAATGATGTCATATCCAGTGGGTGGGTCACCATTCGCATCAAAGTAAACAGAGGTGTTTCCCAGCAAGAACCGTACCTCCTTGAGCCTCGAGAGAAGCTGAAGTAGAAAGGAAAATGTCAGTGCCTGACAAATTATAGTTTTTCAAACACAAGTTTACATCTGCTCACCTCCCATGGATGAACCCTCATCCTCTGGCACTCTCCAGAATCACACCCTAGAGTCTGGTGCAGAGCATGAGCCACAGCATACACCGCTTTATAAACATTGAAAGAGGAGGTGATGTCATATTTCTCCAGTAAGAAGTTCTTCCTGGTGAGGCTGTACAGGTCTGAGCTCTGCAGACAGTCATTGCCTGGGCTTGTGGAGCCGTTAGAGAGTTTCTGGGTGTCACTCTGCTCCATCACATCCAATACCTTTTTCTCAAACTCCTCAAAACCAGGCATAACTGCATTTTGGATGGAGATGCCGATCACAGTGCCAATGGTGTGGATCCTAGGAATGCTCGAAATAAGAGTAGCCGCTGACCAGTCCTCTGTCCCAATCCACACCTTCTTTCTCACATTCTGCTCTATGATAAATGGGAAGAAGCCACTGAGTATTGACTTGCTGGAGAAGACTACAATGGTGGTAACTTTGGTCAACAGTATGCTGTCCACCATGCTCCTCATAGTTTGGACTGTGTCATCTCTGAGTGTGGGGATGATTCCTTGGTAGGCTATGCAGATATTGTAGTCTGGTGCTTGCTGGGACAGGCTCTGCATGCCCTGCAGGCCATAGTCATTGTCACTGCCCAAGAGAGCAATCCATGTCCAGTTGAAATGAATTAACAGCTGGATCATAGCTGCCACCTGGTTCTTGTCGTTGGGAATTGTGCGGAAAAAGGATGGATAGAGGAACTTGTTGCTCAGCATTTGATTTGATGCTTCATAAGAGATCTACAATGGAGGATAAAGGATGCGAAAGATGATTTTTTTGTTGTATGCAAGCCTTTCCATATCAAAATTCAAGGACAATCATTAAGACTTTTTATAACTTACCTCTGGTATAAGATAAGCGCCGAGCAGTGCAGCAGGGGTGAATGCTTTACTGCTGCTGTCTGGCCCAATTACAGCCACTGCACTTTGACTGTTGTCATAGGCTGGATCTGTGCCTCCCTCTGTCCCAGGTGTGGAGGGGCTCTGGTAGTGCTGCATCAGCAGGTCCAGTGTGGCCAAGACACTGGCTGGTCCTGAGCAGATGTCGTACATCTGGTAGCCCAGCTTCACTCCTGGTAAAAGAGCCTGTGGTCCAGTGCTGTTATTGATTTCTTCTACAGCAAATCTCATGGCTTGCATCAGGTGAAAGCCATGTTTATTGGGTGGATTTCTAGAGGACGTAACATGTAAAAAGGAAACTGAACGAACAATACCATAATAACATTAACAATGCAGTGGAAAGAAAATGTATGTGAACTCTTTGGAATAATCTGATATTCATCTAAATAACAAGATAAACAAAATGTGATTTAACTAAAAACTCATGAACAATTATAATTTTGTGCCTTCACTGAGCACACATAATAAACACCCAACCTGCTTATTGTTTTATATATACATACACACATACACAAGACATATATTTTACAAGGCATGGTTCATATGAGCTGGTGCTTCTTGTGAATAGCAAACTCAAAATGCTTCAGTGTTTTTTATAAGTCATAAGCTGAGTAGCTCTGACCTGAACCTCCAGTCTTGTTTCATTGATTGAACTCCGAATTTGACTCCATTTAGCTTTTGTTAATAGGGCTCTACCGATTTACATTCTTTCTCCAACCTACACTGTATTCAGTATTGGCAAGAACAATACAATGATTTGGTGTTATCATTTGTCCAAATGGATTCTTTGTTTATAATAGCAACTTAGGTAAAGATTTGAAAACGTATATACAAAGACTTCACTTACTTCTTCTTGCTACAGTATTTGGGTTAATGTTAAAACCACAGCACCAGTGAGATACATTTGATCGGTGGAGTTGGAGGTTTCCTGCCTAGTAAAACTGTAAAACTCACTTGTCACATGGGCCCAAAGCAGGCAAAGTAGCAGGTGGTCCATCTGTGTTGTGCAGAGGAAACAGTCCAGCAATAGAGAAGTTGCCCTGCAGTTGCATCCCCTGTCCCTGAGAAGTGTAATCCAGTTCCCCGTCAGCTAGCTGCAACAGCCAGCCTAAGAAAAAGAACACAGCACCAGACATATCCGCCAGACTTCACCTCCACCTCGCACACGCTGCTGTAGAAGCTCAGTGTGATTTGCAAAACGGACCAGGGGCTGTTTTTCAAAGTGTGGATTGATGTGGGGATGGATGAGAGGATCCCTTTTGCATCTTTCCAGGGAGTGTTAGTTGAGTGAAGTGCATTTGCATGTCTAATTTGTTTGTGTGACTGTAGAGTTAACCTCCTAATAAAATGAACTGCCTAAATGTAATAAGACATGAAGAGATGGACTCTTGAGAGAGGAAGGCAGTGATTTAATCAAACAATACCAAGGCTTTGGTCTTCAAACCTTCATCAAGACAAGAATTTGACAAAAGTTGTCTCTTGTGAAAGATATTGTTATGTCAATAAGATTTTTACCAGGTAAAATAAAATTTTAAACTACATTATTCCACCTTAAAAAAATAAGTTAACATTGCAGAAACTTGTGATTCTGAGAACAAACAAGACATTTTGTGAGCAAATGCCATCACGTGAACATTAACAGTTACAACAGTTTCAAGTTTTATGTGGTTAACAACACACTTTTAGTTAAATTTCACAATGGATTTGTTTGGCTACTCGTGGATGAATACTGGACTGTATTTTCGATCTATTTGGTGATTATGACTTTCCAAAGCACTTACTACAGTTTGTTCCAAGTCTCATACTTGGAGTCAATTATTTTACATTTATATGTATACACACACTAGAACAGAGAAGACAAACCAGTAGATACAGGACATTAATATTGACCAAAGTTTTTTTTCTGTTGTATGGGTGTGAGATTTTTTTTGTCCAACTCTGTTCAGTCTATGGAAAAATGTGCAAGTTTCAGCCGCGATTTGTTGTGAAATTAAAATGTTTGCTGTGGAAAAGGTCTGTCTTCATGACTTAATGTTACACATGTTTTTCTGCCTAGTTAAAATGTCTATCGTGAAAAGGACTTGTGGAGGTGTGGCTTAATTTGCCTTTTGGTTGATATTTGAGGCTCATTTAGTTAAATACACGGGCTGTACTAACATGCAATTTGCCTGATGCTCACCTGTGTGCAGGAACCAAACCCACTGTTTTGAAAGGACTATTGTGCATTTTTTCAGCCACAATATTATAGAGGCAAATGAACATAAACATTTGCATGTCTGTTTAAACACAAGGATTTGGGAGAAATAATTTGTTCAAGCTTTACCATTTCACCGATATTTGGCATGGGTTTGTGATCAATTCTATTCAAATAAGTCTGAAGCAGCTGACTGTAAACCACTAAAATGTAACAGTTGGTTTAATAGCAAAATGTAAAATTTCATCACACAGACGAGTTCAATAAACAACAGACCCATTAATACATAAGACTGGATTCAGTAATTGCTGTTTTATTGTTATATATAGGCCTATATTTTATTAAAATAGTATTCTTTGACAAATGACAGTTTACCTAATGACAGAACATATTTAGACTTTTTATAACAGGAAAATTCCAGGTGTAAATATTAACATTAATGATAACTCCTGTCCATGTTACATTTATAGGATAAATAAAAGTTTTATGTAACTCAAATAGATTTTTAGGAGGTTTTTTTTTTAGTTCTCTATCAGCCTTACTTTTTAAAAAACTGAATCAAGGGTTCATAATGAGATTAAAGTGCCTTCTTCATAATGTTCCTAGAATACAGTGATGTCCTGACTTTTTAGAAATGCTATAACTCTTCTCTATTGTGTCCAAAAAAGCTAAATTCCTTTTTAAGATAATGTTTTTTCCATCCAACTATAATCATAATAACATGTTATCCAGCTCCTTGGCATGACATTATTTGTAGGACATAGGGTGACAATGAGCCATACTGATATTTTATTTTCATCTCTGGATAACACCATTGGATCTATCAATGAATAAAGCGGGAGGTGGTGGCCGGCTCTGTTTGCGTCACTATTACGCGACGCACATGTCTGAGGTGAAAGTGCAAACTTCCATTTTTTAGAAATAATCTTCCTGAATAGTTAGGCAAGCAAACAGAAACTTTTGAGTTTCACCGGTACGTTTTAGCAGCTTTGTTTCATCTGTTTGCACGGCAGACGTATTCTACGCTATATTTTAGACGCTCAGTTTGTTTAAACTCGGGTTAAAGCGCGCCAAGCTCAGGCCTACCCTGGTCTGCAGATGGCTGCTTAGCACGGCTGGCTAACATTAGCCGTAGCTGTAAACAAACACAACGGACAGCGGCGAGAAGAAACAACTGCTGATACTCGACCTCACACCCTGGAGGTTTGTTCAACAAATCGGGTCAACAGTTCAACTGGATAAAAAGCTAGTATCACGTTAGAAACATAACTTCAGGAGGAGCTGGCAGCAGGAGGCAGTTTGATACTGCTCATCTGGACACAACTTCAGTTTTGATGACAGTGCGAGTTTCTCCAAAGTAGTTCGGAGGTCAGTCGCTGTGGAGCGGGTCGGGTCAGTCGGCTCACAGGGGAAAAACACACACAAACACCGGCATGTCGTCCTTTTCTGAGTCGGCCCTGGAGAAGAAGCTGTCGGAGCTGAGCAGCTCGCAGCAGAGCGTCCAGACACTGTCTCTCTGGATCATCCACCACCGCAAACACTCGGGCCTCATCGTGAAAGTGTGGCACAGAGAGCTAAAGAAAGGTGAGTCAATAATACCTACTGCTTGCAGCCAAGCATACAAAATACACTGTGCAACAAAACAAGGTCCTGGTAACGGTAAACTACAAAGCCTAAGGGTTAAGTGAAGGTGTAGTTGTGTCATTTCATAACAGAGTAACAGTCCACTCATTGGTTTGTAACAGAAACTGGTAAAGAGGGGGCATTTAAAAAAAAAAGTAAAGACCAATATGTAAAGACAGGCAGTTTTTTTTGAATAGGGTCCTTATATGCAAACCTGCCCAGTGCTTACATATCCAACATAGAAAAAATATTCAAAATATGAGATGTTACATATAGTGTCCACCAGAGGTTGCTTTTCTAATGAAAGGTCATTGTCAAATACTACACCTAGATTTCTGCATGCAGGTTTGACATTTGTAGACAGGAAGAAAAGATGGCTTTGCAAAATTTGAAGACTTTGGAGGACATTGTTTTCAATGTTTTGGGACATATAGTGCTTTATTTGTGACAGACAAGATTATAGCTGATGAAAATTACCTTGTTCATCATAAATCATGGTTTCATTACTAGTGTATTTTTATTATTCCTCCAGATAAATAACCATATCTAGCCAGCATTTTGTCATAATGACATTCTGCCACGTGCTTCAGTTTAATAGGCTGTTTTTTTTTTAATATTAGCAATAAATGTCAGGTTTTTATGTTAGTTGCTTAACATCAAACATTTCTTTTTAGTTGTAGGTTCACTATTTTGTTGTGACAGCGACACAGGGTATAATCCATTGAAGATGAGGCAGAGAGGACACTGAATATAGACTGAATTACCCTGATAATCATTCTGAAATGCCATTCAGTCTCAGTTAATTGAATTACTGAAGTAGAGCACACAGGCATATACAGAAATATATAATAAAAATATAATTTGAATGTTTTGGCCATCACAGATTAAGATTGCAGTGCAAGAATTAATTGTTATTGTTAAATCATGAAATATAATGATTTATATTTATTTTTAATGTGTCCTCCAGCCAAAAGCAGCAGGAAGCTGACGTTCCTGTATCTGGCCAATGATGTCATCCAGAACAGCAAGAAGAAAGGGCCAGAGTTCACCAAAGACTTTGAGTCTGTCCTCGTTGACGCCTGTTCACATGTTGCCAGGTAGATATTAATGTGATACACTAGCAGCCTGAAGCCTTTTGAGAAACTGTTAAATAATTAGTATGTGGTGATTTGTTACATTTTATGCCTCCGTGCTAACGATAACCACTGCCGGGGGTATTATGTTTTTGGGTTGGCCATTTGTCCGGCCCATTTTTGTGAGCACGATATGCCAGGAATGGAATGTCATTACAACTGGCACAAATGCCCATGGATGAACTGACTACAATTTGTAGGTCAAAGGTCAAGGTCGGTATGATTTTAAATAGGGATGCACCAGTACCACTTTTTTTCAGACTAAGTACGAGTACTTAGGTTTGAGTACTCCCCGATACCAAGTACCTAATGATGCAGTTTCTACTATAAAAAAACTACAATTACCATATAAGTGCAATGACTGTAGAGACAGTTTTTAATTTCATGAGATTTACTTCCTGATAGTGATTAAATAGAATATCCTATGTAACAGGAGGCTGCGCAAATTACCTGAAAACTTTCTGTGATCACAAACACAGCACTGCCACCATTCCTACTGAATAACACGTAACTGGCTGGGTTTCTGTAGCCTGCTACACAGCATACTGTAATACAGTGGAGTTTAACCTTTTTAGGAGTGCGACCCAGTGTTGGGATGTAATGATTTCACAACCTCGCAACCACAACGTCACAGTTTAGAAGCGCATATTATCACAGTCAGTAATTTAAATGTTTAATTTAACGAGGCTACATGCTTTTATGTTAAACTGGCTGCCGTCTGTGGCTCCAACCTGTCCTCTCTGCTGGACACACACCTGCTCTGCTGCAGAGGAGCTGCTGGTCTCAGCCTCCAAGTCCACAAGAACTCAACCCATTTTCATACACAGAGCTAATTTGACGTTGCCCTTAACTACATAAAGTTAGCGTTTGTTTTCTTCCCGTTCACAGAAGTTCACTACAATCAGCAGAACGAGCACCATGGTGGTTTTAGCGGAATGAACAAGACCGTGCATTTTAAGAGGGAGAGTGAAGATGTCACATTCCTGCAACTTTGTTGTTGTGCTCTGTTTCTTCAACAGGTGTTTGATTAATTATTCTCTCCATTACTGTTGATTTTCTTGCACATATACAGTGTTGACATCTGTGTAAAATGCAGCCTCGTGTGTGTGTGTGAGACGGGGAGGGAGGGGCGCTCACACAAACACAACAGAGAAGCTGAGCTCATAGTCGGCTT